TACTCTATGATCTCAGAGTTGTTGTCTATTTTATTTGCGCTTGTATATGAATTATTTCAACCTTGATAGTCTGTGGAATAGTTCATCTCAGATTCAATAAAAAATTCGAGTGAATCTTACTCCTGAATCCAATCATGTTTTGGATTGGTCTCATACATGACTTAATCCCTGAGTGATTCTAAAGGATCTCAGATCTGTTTACGTCTTGGGCTTATTGATATTTTAAAAACATTTAAAATTTTAGTTTTATTCTGCTCGGATTATTTACTAAGCCTATTTTTTTTGGCGTAAATGTGACCGGTCTGTTTTGTTAATGGCCTTTGAAAGCCTGTTTTACATCTACGAAAGGTTGTTGTTTTGGACTTATAGATAGAATCAGGTTTTACAGATTCATATTTTACCCAGAGTTGGAATTTTCCTGGGGCTCCTGAGTTATCCTGTGTTAAAAAAGATTTTGTATTCTGTGAATCGAAATGCATGTGCATCGAAATTGGTTCTCTGAACTTTACTAAAAATTTCTATATGCTAGGGTGTTGAACTTAATTAGGAAGAACCTGCCCTTAATAAAAGATTTTTGTATTCTGTGTTTTGGTCTTTTCAAATATACATCTTTACTAAAATTTTCTATATGCTGGGGTGTTGAACTTAATTAGGAAGAACCTGCCCTTAATAAAACATTGTTGGTCTGATTTAGTTTTATAATTTATTTATCGGGCTGGGTTGCTATTAATATTATCAAAACACTATTATTATATGTAGTATCTGTAATGTATGTAATTAAAATTATGTTATAATATTCTTGTTATACCACTGAAATCATAAATGCATATTTAACTAATTTTCCATTACAAATTTCCAAAATTATTTTGAAAATATTGAACTACATTTGTTAGTCAGGTCTTCAACGCTTCTTTTAGGGTTGATTATTGTGCTTTTGGTGATCCTCTTCATTGAAGAACTGTTTTGAAACCAAAACGACATGGTGTTAATACAACTTTTGGAAGACTGGAATACTTTTTATTTATACTAAGACGTTTATTTCTTTTTGTCGCTTTCATAAACAAATTTTCAAACCGGTTCAATTTGGTATTTCTGGTTTTCAAGGCCCATCCCATAGGACTGTCAGATGCCCTGCCAGCCACCAAAGTGGCCTTCGGAACTGCGTGGTCTGGCAGTCCGTTGGCCTGATAAGTTGAAACACCAGATCACCATTGATCCTTAATAGTCTGCATCTCAACTAATGAGTAATTTCTTATGATATGCATTTGCATCGAAATTGGTTTTCTGAACTTTTCTATACACTAAAACATCTGTCAAATGCATAAATTAAAACATTCTTCAGCTGTTGCACAACTGAAACACTGAAACTTCAAAACTGCATATGCATACAACATTAAACATTGGATTTCATAAAGCATGACATGGTCTGCATAAAGCATACCATGGATTACATAGACACATCCCTTTAGGAATATAACATGGCATGAACATACTATCCACCCAATCAACAAAATTCTAATCTGTTTTGCCCTCTTATATATCCAGCAAAAACATAAGCATATTTCATTCATTGAAATGCAATACTAAGTTCATTCCAATTGGCTTTAACATATCCAGCAAAAACATATGCATATTTTAATCATATAAATGCATTACTAAGGTCATTCCTAGTTAAGCCAACTAAAATTCATCCCCATACAAAGTTTTTCATTGAAGTACTTCTGATTAAGTGTGACTGTCCGCACTGATCTTCTAGGTATCATTGGTTTTGCATCTATCCATTCTTGACAATCTTTGCATAAGTATTTGCCAGTACCCCTATTTTTGTTTACTGGCCTCATGCAGTAAAAGTGACTTAAATTCCCATTACACAAAGAGCATGGTTGCAACCAAGAGAGTCCAGGATAATGTCCACATGTATGACATTTTGGTTGAGAACATTTGTTGCATGAACAGCTTCTCATCTTTCATTACAAAGAAAAAAAATACAATTATTTTTTACAAATAAAAGGATTTTAAGTGTTGTAATCAGTTTAAATGCATTTGGTATTAGTGTTCATTGCATAGTTTCATATAGCATTATCAATAATGAGTTATGAAACATACCTTTTCTTCACACTGAATTGCACTGGTCGTAGATATTCTTGAGCCTTTCTCACAGTTTCAATTGTTAGAATTTTTGGTTGAGCTCATAAATGAGCTTCTGGGCATGGAGTAAATGCATTGGGAGTTATATAGCCACTCACTTTACAATATTGGTAAGTTACCTTTCTGGAATATTTTATAATATTTGTTGTACATCTTCATTTAATTCCAGCAGACCTACATTCCATCCTAGAATTAATACACCCAGTTGTATTAATACTTTTGAGTAGTGATACTCAAGTGCTTTACAATAATGACTGCCCCTTGTACTTGATGAACGGGCATTGTACTTGATGAACGGTTTTGCATTTAATGTTGCAAGGGGTAAAAATACCCACTCAATCTTTACATTGAGATTATGTAGTACATTGCATTTATTGTTTGTGAGGCTCAAGAAATGTTTGTGTGGCTCCAGTTCAGAACTATCATGAGCTTCTGAGCTTCTGAACATTTATTGTTACGTATTTGAAATTATTTTATTTTTTTAATATATTTTGTACTTTATTTATTTAGTAAAAATAATGTGTTTTTAAAATACAGTTTTAAATTTGTGCTCTCTTGAGCCACACAATCTCCAACATCGGAAGTTGTTGCCTGCATTAATTGCCTGCAGCTTTCAAGTACACAGCTATCTTGGGTGGTTTTGATCTTGATTCTGCTAAATACTCTATAAACTTTTACATCAAATAAATTAAAACCAACTTGTTGTATGAATATTTTATAATAATTTTTTGATATTCGCGTTATAATTTATTTTTCTAAAATTTATTTTCAATTTTTTTGAATACTTTTCCAAAAATAATTTCCGATTATTTGAAAACAATTTAATGTTTTTTATATATTTTGTCCCTTATTTTTTAAGTAAAAATATATAACCTAGCTCCCAAGAAATAATGTGTTTTTAAAGTACAAAGTTTTAAATCTATTATACTACTCATTAATGCTCTCTTGACTTTTACAATAAATATCTTGAGCCACACAATCTCCAACATTGGAAGTTGGTACCTTCATTAGTACACAGGGAACTTGGGCAGGTTTGGATCTTGATTCTCCTAAATACTCTTTATAAACTTTTACAATAAATATCTTTTATTATTCTGCTAAATCCATTTGCACTTCGTGCATAAATATATTTTTATTACTTTTCAGTATTCCTTTGGATATGTATTGATTCAATTTAATTTAATTTATTTATTTATTTCAAGGGTAAGGCCTTTTTAAAACTCACGTATTTGAAACCCAAAATACCTGGGATACATATATGGCCGAAATAGACATGCCCAAAATGCTAAGTGGAATCATGTACTTCTCATATCTTTTTATCCATACTAAATATATCTTTCCATACCATTCAGAAACAAACATCCCTTTCACATGTTGGTTAAATTTCTATTATATTCAAGCTTTTGACATCTTTACAAATATTTACTTGTCACTTGACATCATTCCATACTAAATATATTTACTTAGACATGGTTCTATTTTTGAAGAATTTCAAAATACAAACACTTCAATGACATTTTGGGCAGATATTATTACCACATTTTTATTCCCAAAAAATGGACTTAATTTCAGATTTCTATTTTCCAATTTTGTCAAAGATACCACAACTCCCAAGTGTATTGATTTATAATAATAACTCTTAGCAATGGCTAACCAAGTTTTTATTTTTGAATAACAATTTCGAATAAGCTTTAATACCTAAAATCAACTTCATGTTTGATATTGCAACTTTATGTACTAAAATATTCCAAAATTTTACTTTCTAACAGACATTTTTTTAAACTTATTTGTACTTTTATCCAAGAGTGTGTTCATAGTAATAAGAACTCTTTTAATACTTTTTGACAGGTGTAATTTTCTGGTTGAACAGGTTTAAAAACGCTATCTAGAAAATTGTAATAGGAATAGTTCTGGGACCTTAGAAGGTTGCCATTTATGTAAAATTTAAAAGGTTTGTAATATTATTTAGTAAATAGGGATTGCAGGTAACCCTCCATTCTGCAAAAGACTAAGGTATGAACTTCTTTACCTCACTTGGTTATTTAAAATTATGCAACTTGTTGAATCAAATTGCCAATTGTCAAATTGCAACCAAAGAATATTGCATAGATTTTTAAATGTAATACACTTGTATTAGCATTTCCAATCCAAATGTGACACTTTTGAAATCATAAGAGTACACATTTACTTGTTTACGTGATGCCTCTTAGAGTTTACACATTTACACGTTTCATAGTAAATCTAGCAGTTAAGCCATTATTCACACCATCCCATGCCTCGTCTAGCAGTTAAGCCATTATTCACACCATCCCATGCTCTCGTCTAGCAGTTAAGCCATTCTTCACACCATTGGTAGCATTTTTCTTAACCCAAAACTTTTTCATCATCCTGGAAACCATTAGTAAAGCCTTAGTTTGAAAACAAAGGTCTGTTTATAAAATACAAAGATATTAGGAGCATAAACTTCACCAAATGGTTTAGGAATATCCCTTCTCTGAAATCCTGCAAAACTGCCCAATATAGATACAAAACATCCTAAACATAGTTAAAACATAATAGCACACCACTCAATCGTTTATTCACACCATCCCATGCTCTCGTCTAGCAGTTAAGCCATTCTTCACACCATTGGTAGCATTTTTCTTAACCCAAAACTTTTTCATCATCCTGGAAACCATTAGTAAAGCGTTAGTGTGAAAACAAAGGTCTGTTTATAAAATACAAAGATATTAGGAGCATAAACTTCCCTAAATGGTTTAGGAATCTCCCTTCTCTGAAATCCTTCAAAAATGCCCAATATAGATACAAAACATCCTAAACATAGTCAAAACATAATAGCACACCACACAATAGTCATAAAGTAGGTTTTAATGGTCTGTTACACAGTTTTCAGTTATCCCAAAAAGAGAAGGCATACGTCCTGTGCATGAAACTGTTTTCAAATAACAATAAACACAATAGTAGGTGCCAACAAAATATCATCAATGTTATTCATGAACTGAACCCGCTCTAGAGCGGTTCCTGTTTGATTTTGATCTTCAGCTTCTTGCCATTCCCAGTGCTTGAAAATTCATCATTCAAGTTTCTTTTGACCTCTTCATTTAATTCAACATCGACCTCCCTTTGGGTACATTCCGTAGGTGTGTCGGTTAGCTCAATTGGTGCAAAAACCTAGCAGTAATATAGCTGTTTAGTGAACCCTCTACAGAATTTTGAACGAAAATATTATATACCTCTTAACAGTCGATCGCTTACCTCCTTTTCTGCCGAAATTCGTTTCCCCTTGCCCTTACTGACAATTGATTTTTCTCTGATGGAGGTTTCTCCTAAATTTGCATTTGAACCAATCTGCAAAAAAATGATTTTAAGTTAGTTGTCATCTTTATTTATTCAAGGCCCAAATACACAAATTAATAATTTTTCTAAATACCTTTTCTGGTGTACTCTCATCAATTTCATTAGTTTCCAAGTGCTCTTTCTTCTCATACATTGAGATAACATTAGGATCTCTTATGATGCTGACTACCCCTAGAGAAATCCCATCATTATAGGCATTTTCCTCACCTTTCTTCTTCCTGAGCTGTATTTTGAAAATTCCCTTTATATCAACCAAGCTTTCAATGTCTTCCGGAAAGCGACTGGGATCCCCGGTTTTCTGTGTTTTCCAAGTTATGTGGTTAGCCCATCCATAATTGATTGAAGGTCTGATAAACGGTTATTGTGTTACCTTCTCCACCTCGGCTTTAAGACTTGCTGAAGTTTTACCCAGAATTTCTATGCATTCCCTGTCCCATAACATGAAGTTTCCATACCCCGTGTTGTCCATAATACACACACTGACCTTGTAGCTAAATCATCAGAGTAACAATTTTTATTACTAAAATAAAAACGTGAACATCCTACACCCATAAAAGCACATTAGGTTAAGTAATGAACCGATAAACTCCTTCTGCAATTGACATGCTGCAAGTTGTACACCTAAACCGTTCCTCTTCTGGTTGCAATTTTTTGTGGCATGTTGGGCAACTTAGGTAGCACCATTCTCGATAGTTTTCTATAGAAACTATCTCAGCAAGTACCCAATAAACATTCTCCTATCCAAGTATAATTTTCTTATTAGCAGTGGATATATTTATTCAAAATGCGAAATCTATGACTCTAGCTTCAGGACACACCTCAGTTGCCTTCATCAAATCCTCCATGGTGGTAATGACAGCATTTCCACCGAGTATATCATCCCTCCCTTCCGCATGTGAGCATTGCGTGTTGCAGGTTTGAGTCGTGGTGTCATCACCATCTGCTGGAAACCTGTATATTGCATGGTAAACAGACTTAAGTTCTAGGATACTTGAGTTTTAGGAGATTTTTTTATGAAATTGGGAAGTCAGAGTTTAGTTTTAGGAGATTTAATACGCATACTCGCTTTGGAACTCTAAAAACTCAGTAGTGTTCCCGTTGATTATGAGCTTTGATACATCAAAAGACGAATTCACTGTCAAGATCCCTGTGTTTAAAACAGCACTACCATAAGCTTTGGCTACTGTGTACTACATAATGAGTGCTGCTAAGTTTCTCAAACCTTGGTATCTTTTTGGCCTACATAGTTGAAATATCACGAAGACAGGCACTCCTTCATTAGCATTAACATAATCCAGATACTGGTTTATGTACATGTTCCACAATACGGCGCCCAATCTGTTACCCCTGTAGTTTAGAAAAGTTTCATTCAATGAGCATGTGTCTTTTGTTTTGCTAAAATCGTTTAAGTTGTAAAACTTACTCCGGGTCTGTCAAAGTCAACTCCATTAGCCTATCAGTCCTCCCATTGATTATGTGGGTCTGGATAAGGCTCTTGGAAAGAACCTTCCCAATGACATCTTCATAATTAAATGATAGAAACTGTAATTAGGATATTTGTGCAAGCAATGTAGTATGGAAAAATTTGACTCTAACTCACCAATTAGAGTTTTGTCGTTGATAACTCTTTGGGCATGCAGCATATCAAAAGGCTGAAAATCATAGACCATCATAGGCATTTCCGTCTTCGTATCTTCCCTCAACAGGGTTTTTGAGATGAACTGAATTATGTAGGGATGACTGGTAGTCTTCACTGTTTGGTAATTGTCAAGCACCAAAAAGTTTCTTATGGCATAAATTTTGTTCTCTGTAATATTAGGCTTATACATTGCTATCTGCGGCCTCTTGATAATGGCGTGAATCCGATCTCCCTAGTAAGAATTTACATTGGATTAAGAAAAGTTGAGCAAAAGACGCCATAGAAGTTAGATGTTACAAACCATACCTCTGTGTCATGCAAAACCATTTCAAGAGTCTCCCCGCCCTTAGAGTGTGGAGGAACTTCGTATGCCCTAACTACCCGAACCTTGATTGCCCAGGTCGTCTTTGTGTGATCGATATCCTTGAGCAAGGACCACATCCCTTGTGCTGATGAAGCGGTTTCCATTGCACTGATTTTGAACTTTTGAACTTAAAAATACAGCTGCTGAATACTGGTTTGTTGTATGTTGTGGTCATCCCCTGTTTGGGTATTTATATTGGATAAAGGAGAGAACAACCTAGGTTGAAAATACCACACAATCTCAATATTAAGATTTGTAGTACAATGCATTAATTATAAGGTGAATCAATTGGGTTAACAAAGGGTTAAAAATACCCACTCAATCTTTACATTGAGATTATGTAGTACATTGCATTTATTGTTTGTGAGGCTCAAGAAATGTTTGGGTGGCTCCAATTCAGAACTATCAAGTACAAATACCCACTCAATTTTTACATTGAGATTATGTAGTACATTGCATTTATTGTTGTGAGGCTCAAGAATGTTTGTTTGGCTCCATTTATTGTTCAGAACTATCAAGTACAATGACTAAATTAATATTGTTATGCCAAGATTGTACAATGCATTAAATGTTTGTGTGGCTCAAGGTTTACTTCTAAGATTTGAAGTACAATTTACTTCATTTTTTAATCATCACATCAGATTTCACATTAAATGTTTGTACAATCTGTACTATTTTAGTGGCAAGCATTAAAGAGCATCAGTGGGCCTGCCCAGGACCCGTTTGTGCACCCATAGTGACCCGACCCGACCCAATAGTGCACTGCATTTGGGCGGGAACACTGTTCATTTTTTCTTTTGGCTTTGTATAATAGAAGATAACTTACACACTTGCCCAGCCATGTTACTCCCTCCGGTCCCTATTAAAGTTTCTAGTTTGACTTCACACAGATTAAGAAAATAAATTTGACTTTACTGTGGAGTGCACTGTTTGATACGGTTGGGATACTGTTTGACACTGTTTGGCACTGTTTTGTTTCCTACAATGGAAGTGTGAACTTAAATAAGGGACATCCCAAAAAGAAAAGTGAGAACTTTAATACGGACCGGAGGAAGTATTTATTATAGAGGCAGCATGTCCTGTCATGTTATTTATTATGGGGAAGGGTTTTGGTTTACATTTTAATTATATGGATGACTAAAAACAAATCTATGTTGAAATATATTGAATTAGTCATCTTCCAACTATTCTTGATTAGGAATTATTATCACCATTGTATAAATAATTAGGAAATCATAATTATGATTCTAGATGATAATTGTGTGGTTCACAATTATCCTCTAATCCTAATAGCTTAGCTTTTCTCCTATAAATAGGAGTCTTCTCCATTGTAATCAACACACCTTCATTACACCATTATCACACTCTCTAATACACCTCTATCACTAAGTGTTCTACTATACTTTCTCTCCCTGATCTTCTGCTCATTTCCTTTCATATTATAACACGTTATCAGCACGAATTTGCTCCAAATCCCTGATATCATCATCTTCCCAGCAGGTATATATTTCTACGAATTTATCAACTTATATGAAAAAAAAATCAGAGGATGAGAAATATAAACATGTATAGATATATTCAAAACTATAAGAAGTATGCTCTATGGTTGCCCAACCGTTGGGATCCTCCATATCAGAAAATTATAGATATATTTTGTATAAAAGAAATTGAAGAAGATAGAAGAAGGACTTACCTTTAGCCTTTACAGTACTCCGTAATATGTTCTTGAAATAAAATATACTCTTCTTTAAAAAAATGTGCACCCCTTCTTTAAAATATACTCTTCTTTAAAATCTACTCTTCTTTAAAAACTACTCTTCTTTAAAATCTACTCTTCTTGAAATAAAATCTACTCTTCTTTAAAATCTACTCTTCTTTAAAAATTTTGTCTGATGTGGGCTCAAGTTGCAGACATTATTAGTTGGCTTTGAATTAAAATGCAGCAAGAAAATAATTTAGAGGCCTACCTTCATAAATGTGATACATATAGTACGTAACTATACGTAGTACTACACACGTAGTTAATAGGGAGTAATAAAATCATGCACCCCTTTATGTTCAAGTTGATTGTTTAAAAAAAAACATGGACTACACAAATAATACGGATGCAGAATAACATATAGTACTTCATATGTACTTACAAAATAATAATAATAATAATAATAATAATAATAATAATAGTAAAATAAAAGCTATTATTATCTTTGTCAAGACTATCATATTATTATTGAGCTCTAATAATGATACTATGTACTACGTATATCAGAAGATATTTCTTCTGTCTAATTATAATTGATTCCGTGACATGAGGCATATATCTAATTTGTGTGAAAACATTAACTAAGATTTCATACTATTGATAACTAATACGGAGTAGTAAACTAAATTTTCTATACAATTTTTTTTATATTATGAATATACATAATCATTAGTTAATGTATGCCTCTAGTGCCTCACGACAGTTTGTTTGTTCTTTTATTCGTATTAGGCATGGACTTATCTAAGTATATAAGTTAAGTCACGGATTATTACAGTTATTTATACATGTGTAAACGTGATGCATATAATTATTATTATCGTACGTAGTAGTTATTAATATAGTGTTTATTATATAAACATATTACGTATATCTGATCGTATTATCTATGCAAACCATTAACTAATTAATTTTAAATTAGTTATGGTGTAGTTCATCCATGGCTAATATTAGCAAAAGAGAGTTCGACGTCCTTGATTTATCTGGTCAAAAGTACTTGGAATGGAAAGTTGACGCTTTGGCACATTTAAAAGCAAATGCCCTCGAAAACACAATTGCTGAAAATAATTCAGCTACTCCCCAAAATAAGGCAAAAGCCATTATCTTTCTTCGTCACCATCTTCACGAAAGTTTGAAGTCTGAGTATTTATTGGTAGATGACCCTAAAGAATTATGGGATAATCTCCAAGAAAGGTATGGCCATCAACAAAAGGTCCTTTTACCAAAAGCTCAATATGACTGGATCAATTTACGATTCCAGGATTACAAATCTATAAGTGACTACAATGGTGCCTTGTTCCAAATAACATCAAAATTGAAGTTATGCGGACAAAAAGTCACTGATGCCGAAATGTTGGAAAAAACTCTATCCACTATGCATCTTTCAAATATGCTTTTACAAGAGCAATATAGACAAAAGCACTTTCAAAAGTATTCTGATTTAATATCAGTATTACTACTTGCTGAGACGAATAATGACATTTTGATGAGAAACCACAATATGAGACCCACGGGTTGTAGCCCTTTTAGTTTTGGTCCACAAAATCATGGTTCAAAACATGAATCAAATGCAACCCATAGTGGTGCTCGTGGACATTTCAAATGTGGTCGTGGTATTGGTCGTTATAATGGACCTAGCCGGGGAAACAAACAGAGTAGTAGCTCTTACAAAGGCAAGGGAAAGCAAAAACCCCATCAAACAAGAGGCTCGACGAAATCTTCAGAAAAGGCTAAAGTCACTTGTTTTAAATGTGGCACATCGGGACATTGGGCAAATGAGTGTCGCACACCTACACATTTGGTTGACTTATATAAATCATATCTAAAAGGAAAGAATGTGGAAACTAATTACGTCAACGAAAACGTTCCACCAATGCGCACATTTAATATGTCTGATTTCTATATGGACAATAATGAGATGAACACCGACATCGTCATGGGTGAAAAATAATAATAATAAAAATGAAATTATTCTGTTATGTAATATATTCTACAATAAAAGTTTGTTGTATTGTAATTTTTATTTGATATGCTCGTTTCGGTTGTAAAAGTTATGTACATTTTAATGAATAAATTCTTGTTTATATTGCAATATTGAACTAATATTTGTTCATTTTTATCTTTTTAAAGATATGGAGTTAACTGAAATTTCTCCAAATGGCTTTGAACAATGTTTAATAGACGGTGCCACAACGCACACCATTTTGAGACATAGAGATTATTTTTCTCATATGACATTAGTTGATGCTAATGTCAATACAATCTCAGGTGTTGCTAAACTCATTGAAGGTTCTGGAATAGCCTGTGTAATTCTCCCAAAAGGGACAAAATTAATAATTAAAGACACTTTATACTCCAGTAAATCACGGAGAAATCTTTTGAGTTTCAAAGATATGCGTCTAAATGGTTTTCACATTGAAACCATGTCTGAAAATCAAAAGGAATATTTATGTCTAACGACAAATAGATCTGGCAATAAATATATTTCAGAAAAAATGCCAGCATATTCCTTCGGACTATATTATACATATATCAGTCCAATTGAGATAAATGTGGTATCTAAAATTAATGACCACAGTTCCTTTATCTTGTGGCATGACCGTTTAGGTCATCCAGGCAGCACTATGATGCACAAAATTATTCAAAATTCACTTGGACATTCATTAAATAATGTCAAAATTCCACAATCAAGTGATTTCTCATGCACAGCTTGTTCTCTTGGCAAATTAATTATCAGGCCATCTTTATACAAAATTGGAGTTGAATCTCCTGCATTTTTAGAAAGAATTCAAGGAGATATTTGTGGGCCAATTGCCCCTCAGTGTGGACCCTTTCGATACTTTATGGTGCTCATTGATGCATCAACACGTTGGTCACACGTCAGTCTTTTATCGACTAGAAATTTTGCATTTGCAAATCTCCTTGTTCAAATTATTCGTTTGAGATCACAATTTCTGGTTTTTTCAATAAAGAAAATCCGACTTGATAATGCAGGGGAATTTACATCCCAATCTTTTAATGACTATTGCATGTCAATTGGGATTGATGTGGAACATCCAGTTCCACACGTGCATACACAAAATGGTCTTGCTGAATCCTTAATTAAGCGATTACAATTAATTGTTAGACCATTATTGATGAAATCAAGATTACCATCATCTGCATGGGGATATGCTATAATGCATGCTGCAAATTTAATTAGGCTCAGGCCAACTGCATATCATAAATTTTCCCCATTGCAATTAATATCTGGTAAAGAACCAAATATATCACACATAAAAATATTTGGTTGTTCTGTGTATGTACCAGTTGCTCCACCTTATCGTACTAAAATGGGTCCTCAAAGAAGGTTGGGAATTTATGTTGGTTTTAAATCTCCCTCAATTATTAATTATCTAGAACCTATGACTGGTGATGGAGTATATGGGTCTGAGCCCCCAGACCCACATACTCAGAAGAACAGAA